ATATTTACCGATATCAGGTCTTGGCATATTAAATCCGCATCCCTGTCCGGTCCTCATGATCATGTTGACGAAGTTGGCGGCGTCGTGCTCCTGCCGGCTCGGAGTTATCACCACCCACGAAGGCAACGACGCTATTGACAGTAGAGGCTTTGACCTACAAACAAACGATACTATTACATATCACATTTTAATTAAAACCATCATACTAATATTATGAATGTGAAAGTTAAGATAGATGGATGGATGGATGTTTATTAGAGTTTGTAGCCTAAACGGTTGAACGGAATTCGATGAAATATTGTGTTGATGTAGAGGATAGTCTGGAAGAAAACATAGGCTTTTGCTTGGGTCTTTAATATTACGCAACGGAGTCACGGGCGAAAGCTAGTTGTTTACAGGATGGGGCAAACGAGTGGCGGGAATAACGGTTATTATCAATCTTCCAGGACATTGGCAGTTTTTCATTATAGAAAAACTTATTTTAATTTAACCAACAGTCTCACTATCTGGTATAATATCTTTTTTTGCGTGACTATAATAACATAATAGTTTAAAAAATAGATAATCTGTTAAGCTCTCTAATTTACATGAAGAATAAGACAAAAAGTGAATAAACATATTTCACTAGCTCGAAGCTTGTTGTACTAGATTAGATGTATATTTTGTGTGGCAATAAGTCCGATTCTATTCTAAATTACCTCATGTCTCTGGTCCAGCCATCAGTGGTATCCCCTGCAGGATACTTCGTGTTGTTGCCTTGAACAATGTTCTCCGGGGGCAGCTGACGTCCCTTCACCCCCAGCAGCTTGTTGGACAGCTTCATATCCCATGTGGCCAATTCCTACAAGTATTAAATCACTATAGTAAAAAGTAAAAAATCCCTTAATCAATCAAATCAGTTGTACTATTGGGGCTTAGCTTTCTGAGGTAGGTAGGGACCTGTTACAAGAGTATATATTGTATAATTGACATTGACACTTTCAAGCATTCAAGAAACTTTAACTACAGATTAGTAAACCCACATATAACTTTCATTATTTACAAACGATTATGCATCAACTTCGTCTATGTGAAATAAAAAAAATTAAAACATTGTATCCCAGGGGAACTGTCAAGCAGTAAAAAATTTAACATTGGAACTGTACAGTTAAAAGTGGAGTATTTAAGAACTAGATACTGACAACTATGTTAAATAAAAAAAAATAAAACAAGTCTATCTCAGGGGAACTGTAAAGCAGTAAAAAAACTGAACATTAGAACTGTACGGTTAAAACTGGCGTAAGTACGAACTGAACAGTTTACAGAGGTTAGGTAGGTGTCTGTGTGTTTTTTTTATTATCTTATTATTATCTCATATCTTTATTTTCTTATTTTTATATATAATATATTTCACATGATTTTCTTAAAAAAATACCAAATAAAACATATTATATAAAAGAATAGAGCACCACCGGCTGCGGAATTCGATGACTCAAGCAACCAGTGGTCAGGGCTGCAGAGACAGGAACCTCCTCACTAGTCGTGCGGTTTCTAAAATAACCGCCTTTTGAATCGGGCCCTTAATCCAACTGTCTAGCGAGAGCTTCTTGAGGTGTTGGTCGAAGCTTATCTTACTATCTTTATTTGAAACACATGCAACATTAAGACACAAACGGATAAACATGAACAAACAATAAAGCTAGTAATAAACTAAATTAATTATAACTTATTAACGCAAGGCCCATGCGTAGGTAGGTGTGTAAGCAAACTCACAGTAACAACTTCCTTATTCTGAATGAATCGCTTGTTGAATTCGAGCAGTTTTCTGATGCGGACATCGGGGCCGATCTTGGTGTGCACTGCGAGGGACTTCATGAGCTGGAAGTTGGCGCGCATGGCGTCCGACAGGCCCGTCATGCGGCACAGCTCCGGCACCAGGTACACCAGCTCGGGCATGCCGGCGCGCATCTCGCGTAACTTGGAACGCGACACCAACATCGGTTGACGCACATCGTTGATGCGAATGTTGTATTTCTGTCAACAAACCACAACTATTGTGTATACAATCAAATCGGATCCATCAATACTACCAAAGAATAGGGAATATGCATGTATTTTTTTTTCTTTTTTTAAACGATTCTACTTGTTATAAAATGACCACAAAAAAAATTGACGCGAAAACATTCAACTATTGAACTAAAAATAATAAAATGAAATAACGACCATTTTGAGCGACTAAAACGCGACCGGAGTTGTCATGAGACGATTGATGTCAATCGTCTATTCCATTCATAACATACGCTCAGATGTTACTTCGACGTAAAACACAACAAAGTTTCTCAAGGTCAAAAAGTGAAAAATCGATTCATTTTTATTATTCCTGGTACAAATAAGTGGTAATTAATAATTCTATTCATTAATTTTTTATTTTAAAGTTGGTTTTGATATCGTGTTTACAGTAAAATACTTCAAGAGTGTATTTCTATATAAACTAACGTAAATGAACTGTGTATTGTCAACACAGCGACGCCATATTAGATAAGCCACTTGCTTCGACCAATAGTGTGCGTTTTAGAACTTAGCGAGGGAATTTGAAAAAAGATACTTTTTAATGATTTAATTTTGCCACTAAATCACATTATATTTGAAAAAATCTTTGCAGGACTGTTTTTATAGTAATAAAGTATACTTAAAAAAAGTTTGGTACAATTTGGCGTCATATGAATATTGCCTATTGCAGCTGTAGCTAAGTACAGTAGAACCTCGATAAGTTAAAGTCCAAGGGAAACACAAAATATTTTAAGTTATCAAGGGTCTGTGTTATAGAGATTTTTGGCTCTGATAGGAAGGGAACATATTATTTTTTAAAGTTATAGAGGTTTTAAGTTACCGAGGTTTGAGTTATCGAGGTATTTCACATAATCTCACGACTACTAAATCCTCATAACCCCATATCAATATAACTAATTGTATTTAAATAAATTTCCAATAGTGTCAATTACATAATTTATGAATATTTATTTTGTAACACTGTCTCGTTTATTTTATAACAAAAGACGGAGCTTATTACATCTTTGTACAATGTTTTATTGTCACTACAAGGACACGAGGTGGCACTAAACTTAACAACTGATATCTTTCAGAGAAAATACCAGTGAAAACAGTTTACCTTGTATCATTACTTTTTTTTAAATCTCTGGTATTTATAAATTATTTACTCATTAAATTACAAACCTTGTAATAATAGTCGACATATGAGATATCACCATCCTTCGTTTTAAACGTGGATAAGGGCGTCTCTTTCCAATCCACATCATCAACTCTGTAGGTTCTCTTGTTATAATCTGTCAGCACAATTTTACCTGGAAAAAGACAAATTTTTATATATAACTATGCATAGGTCTTGGACTCACTTCATACATGATATCTTTCATACAATTTTTTATCAGGGTTAAATCATGATTTTTCCCATTTCTTAAATATTTATTCATATAAGCTACAACAGAATGTGAAATGCATTTATTTGTTTTTCCTCTCCACAGCTGTTTTGGTATTATAATCTGTAACCATTGTTATTTTTTAGAGACTGACACTTGACTTTTTTTTAATTTTTAAAAGTATTTAACCTAACATTTGAAAAACAATCAAAATAGTATAAACACATTTCCCTACGTGGTTTACGAAATGTAGTAACAACGAATTAAATAACTAGCTATTGCCCATGACTTTCTCCGCGTGGTAGCAAAAAAAAAGTAGAGTATGCTCTACATCTATGCCAGAATTCAACGATTAGTAAGATTGTTGCATTATTAGTTGTAAGTGAAAATTAAAATGAATGGCTCAAAAATTATTCACAGAATTTTTTTAAGCACCATACATTTTAATCGAGCATTTTATATTTACCTGTAATATCTTCTACAAAAATTTTTTTGAAGTTGTTTCCCTTCGTACTTGCATATTCCCTCAACATTTGACTCACTGTATCCATGCGCAGGACCTTAAAAAATAGGTATATTTGAAATTTTCCACAAAAAGAGGCTATTGTGTATAAGTACTAATTTAAATACCTTGTGAGTAATTTCTGTAACCATCAAAATCTTGTCTTCATACTGGTTGATAGTTGTTTTATAACCAGGCCAAATCTGCAGATTATACTCCGGGATGTCAACCTGAAACAAAATTATTCATTTGACCTTTTTAACACATCAAAAATTAATTACAAGCTTAGATAAAAAGTCTGTAAAAAGGACATGGTATGTTAGTAAAAGTAGAACGAAACATAAAAAATTAAGGACATAGTTGTAAATGAAACAGGTTTTTTCCTCTTCCCCTTCCTGTGCATCTCTTCTACTGTCAAGTTCACTTTTTCTTCCCATCCTTTCCTCTTAAAGTAAGGGTGGAAAGGAAAAGGGACTTAAAATAGGCCTCCATTACCACACTCATCAGAGTTAACGCGGAATCGCACCAACTTCACGCCTTACCTTAGCTTCAGGGTTAAAGAAGTCTCTTCCAACAAGATTCAATTGCAGTAAGTGGAAGCATTTGCGGATGATAATGTTGAAAACTTGTAGATAGTGGTAATCACCCGGGCTCACTGCAGTTGTTAGCTGTTGGAAAAAATATTCATTTATATAAATCTAATATATATTAGATTATACAAAAAATATTTTTCTTTCTTATGGTTGTGTTACTGTAATTAACTCCAATTGGTATATTAAAAATGTAATTGTAGTGTTAAATTAAATAATAACTTATTTTCAGAATAAGTATTACTTTATACAAACTTTTGCCCAGTACTGCATCCACATGGAATTTAAATAAAAACTAAAGTAACCTATATGTTCTAGACTATCCTCTACATCTATGCCAAATTTCATTAAGATCCATTCAGCAGTTGAGGCTACAAACTGTAACAAACATCCATACATCCATCCAGCCATCTAACCTTTCGCATTTATAATATTAGTAAGCTGTTTGTAAAAGTGTAAATTTGCTTCAGGATTGTGCTAAGTACATTTTGTTGTGATTTAGCACTATACATTTCCAGTAGCAATATGTGCAATGGCATGCAATAAATATGTGCAATATAATAACCTGTTAAGCATCTTGCAACAAACTGTATAAAGACAAAAAAAATTAAAAAAAAGTCATTCCTGTATGTATTTTTGGCCTGTAATGACTTTCAAAATTCACTGTCATTTGTATCCAAAGTAAAAAACTTACCTTTATCATAATTCTCATCCTTTCTCCATCAGTTCTGCGATCGGAATATAGCTCTAATGGCTCGGGATGAAGTCTTTTAATTGTGTAAAGAACAGTCCCATCAAATAGATATCTATAACAATGTGAAAATGAAAAAATTGTACAAACGAAACAAGCTTCATCAACTGGTCAGCTATTAGCAGAAGCTATATAATAAAACAGATATTAGCATGATTCATTCAATTTAGGGCCTGTTTAAGTATCCAATAGACTTAATCAATTCTAAACCGGTTAAAGTCCTGGTAACTAAATTCAACCTTAAGCTGCAGCTCAATAACTAATGTATGATACAATAACAATGTAAGCCAAAAAGTTGCAGCTTTCAGTAAATTGCTGTTCATAGCTCAAAATGCAAACTATTACTGTGAGCAGGTAATGAATTTTTTAATTTATTTTTACAGGGGACTTTGCTGTGAAGCGACGATAATGCTCCATAACTCTAAAAGTAACAAAACACAATTATCATCCTGGTCTTGTCTAGACAGGTAAGCCAGGATAGTGTTAAAGTGACCAAGATACTATTTTTGGAGCTGTGTGTTCACTGGTCTACTTCACACATATGAACTATTATCTGCGGATTAATTAGTTTAATTACCCGTGCATATTGCTGGATAGATAAAAAATATAGAAACATAAAAATTGCTAACAGAATACTTTTACAGATTATTGGAAAATTGTGATACACTTCAACAAATAAGCTTCACATAGCCTATTCAGAACTACTTCAACATTGTAAAATAGCTTGCTTGAAGATAAAGATTAGCAAGAGTTCAATATTAGTGTCTATTCTATGCATAATATTATGCATATGGCATAATAATACATTTCTTGGCAGTACAAATTGCATATGGTTATTTCTAATACCTATATGGTTCCACTTAAATGCGTAAATAGATTTTAAAACTGTAATAATGCACCTATCAAATAAATTAGGTATAAACATACCCGCCGAGGGTCTTGCTGTGAATTTTCAATAGACCTCTACGAACAGCGGTGTTGTCCTCCTCCGGAGTAATATCCACATGGTATTGATACAGACTCCATTGCGGTGTGGTTTCAACAGCAAAATAATTAACCAGCAAGTCAAGAGGATAACCATAGCTTCCTACAAAAATTACAATATTTTATTTCAAAGTTCTTTTACTTTACTTTATTTCAATATATAAATTTGACTTATGCAGTTTATATAGAAATAAAACAATAATGAAAGAGAACTTTGCTTTGCAATCTAGTAAATCCAAAATCTAGTAAGTTTGTATTGAAAAATACAAACACAATATACATTAAGAATATGTTTGTCTATGAAGTATATTTTGTAAACTTGTACTTTTATGTCAAGGACCTAACTTACCTTTTTTAGATGTAACATTAGTAGGTTTTGTACGGAGCACAGTAGTTTGCTCTGGCAAAATGCGACCGCCGCCGCGTCGGGACCCGCGACCGCCTGCTGATGGGCCAGCATCACCGCCAGACGAAGGTGCC